CACACACACACACACACACACACACACACACACACACACACACACACACACGCACACTCGCACAAACATACATGAACTCACACACACATGCACATGCATACAAATACACACACGCGCGAGTACACAAAATACAATACAAGTCCCTTTGTGCTGATACATTAATACTGTGTCCCAAGGCAGAGCGACGTATCTAAAAAAATCGAGTTTATTATTGTTCTATTGATTTGTTACTCTAGTCTTGCCCATGTTCTTCATATGCAAGACGACGTATACTTATCCGAAATAGTAGTTTTCAAAATGTTAGTGTTACAGTAGCGTACGTACATTTCCGCATAACCTTGAGTAGAAGTATTCCTAATTGTAGACATATTGTTTCAAACTTTAAAGACATTTTTCTCTAAATCATTAAACAATTGCAGTTACGTCGCTCTGCCCTTGGACGACAGAATACAAACGTGCACCATCATTTCAGATAGAGAATTAGGTCAGGGCGTAAAGTATTTCTTAAACCTGTGCTAAAGAACTATTTCACTATGTGTCTCTACACGTAACTGTTACCTGAACTCTGTCACTGGACCAAAGTGCAAAAGATACACCTTGCTGGTTTTATTGTTTGTATGGGAAGCCCCAGTTAGCAGATATAAGTTGTGCCTTATGAATGGTTCTCAACAGCTCGGGAGAGGCACCAGTCTTCAACTGACATCCAGCTTTTTATATTCTTAATTAACAATAAAAGGCAAAAATAGTTATTCACCTGTAGCGCTTAAAAGAGTAAAATCAGCCCCATGGCCAAGATGAATATTTGTTCACCCCAAGTCTTTTTTTGTGTCAGACCAAAAGACGGGAAATACAATTAAGGGACACAGTAAATAAAAACAAAACAAACCAAACCAAAAAAGCCCAAGTCCCCTCCCCAAACAACTGGTACTTTTCTTTTTTCTTTACATGAACCCTTACTTTATTTTTATCTTAAGTAGAGACCGAAAACTCGGAGGGGAAACTCTTATTTTTTAGTCATTTCTACGGACACATTTCTTCACGAGCAAATCCTTTACTCGGAAAAACTTGGAGATTAGAGGTAATCCAAAAACCGATAGGTGCGCGTGAGGCTGTTGTCCGGCAGAGGGCAGTTCAAGGGAGAAGAACGTGCTTTGAACACAGCTCAGGCTAAGCCAGGCTTCCTGAACCAGCACGGAGCGGTCAAGCGGCCAGTCGTCGTGTTCTTAGCGGATCTCCTGACAGGTCCAGCAGTGGTCAACGGGCTCTCACGTTCAAAGGCGTGATCTGTTTTTTTTAGAATTTGGGAAAGGTTGAAAGAGAGAGAGAGAGAGAGAGAGAGAGAGAGAGAGAGAGAGAGAGAGAGAGAGAGAGAGAGAGAGAGTTATACCCACGGACACACTGTTTGGGTACATACGAGTGAGTAAGTTGTGCCTGTAATATAGATCTAGATTATGTATCATCAAACCTGAATGACATAAGTGCATTTCTTTGTTGATACTGAATCTTTGCATGTTGACGATCTGTTTTATCGTACCCTCCCACAATTTTCCTCGTGAATCAATACATCTTTTTCTTATCTTATAATATTAGACCGTCAAATGGAATGTGGCGGCCGTCATAAATAATAAATAAATAAATAAATACATAAATAAGAAAGTTCAATGGTAAGCATACATCTTCACGGACCTGTACCAATGATATTTATCACTCTTTCGCCTTCAGTACTATATATAATATTACATGAGTTGGCGGAATACTATAGAGGTCATGCGCTTATCTGCCGTACAGCCGTACTCTGACAGAACGCCTTTTTCTTATTCACAGCCATTTTGAGAAATCAGCGAAGTTCGTTTTTTTAAATAATATCTGTTGAGCACAAGAAATGAATGACATTTCTCTTCAGGGTGCAAGATCAACCGATGATGTACTGTGCAAAATAGTTTAAATATTATTAGAAAAATAGCTGATTTCTCGAAACTACTGTGAATTTTAAAAAAGGCGTTTTCTCAGCGTACGGCAGCGTAGACTCGAGCTCATGTGTAAGGTAATATGGAAGAAACAGCACGACAGCTGATAAAATATCTTCCTCACTAGGGAGGTCCGAGGGAAATGCTTTGACATGCCCGCAATTTGCTGCAGTTCTGTATTGTTCCTCTGTGTCGTGCAGGCGTGCAGGACGAAGTGCCAAAGTCCAGTCTGTCTTATGTAGTAGTAGTAGTAGTAGTAGTAGTAGTAGTAGTAGTAGTAGTAGTAGTAGTAGTAGTAGTAGTAATAGTAGTAGTAGTAGTAGTAGTAGTAGTAGTAGTAGTAGTAGTAGTAGTAGTA